CAGTGAGTGGAGAATTGCTGTGCTGCTGCCTGGGCTCCAAGGATTGCTGAATCAGCATGGAAACATGCTTTAGTGCCTGCAGCAGCTGCTGAAATGAGGATGAAATGAAATACCTTCTTCTGGATTAGATACTGTAACATCTCTCATCCCAGCCTGTGTGAAAGTTCAACTGCTTCCTTTGTTCACAAGGTGAAGGACACTTTTGTCAACTCCAGTGTCTGGGGGTTTATTATTCTTCTTAAATAAGGGTCTGTTTCTCTGTTTATTGGCAGTCTAAACCCTCTTTGTACTGTTAAAATCAGTTCTTAGCAGCTGAGCTTTTCATTAAAGGTGCTGATAGGTCATGTGTCATCACAGGTGACCTTCAAGAACACCAAAGAGCAGGTTTTGATCCTGACGAAGCTTGTCCACTGGCCTGGTTCCAGCTGAGGGCTCCCCTTGCCTGTGCCCACAGCTCCTTTCCACTGCTGGAGCATCCCAACGTGGTTTGAGGACTTTTCTCTCTTTGCCTCTCCTGTGCTGGGCATAGAAAGAGAAATCCCTGATGCAGAGTCTCATAGATGATTAGCTATGAGAGGCACAGGTCACTAACCAGCCTGGACATGATTTCTGTATGTGGTAAAGGATGTTCATAGCACAGATCCTCTTCTTCTCCATGTGTGTGCTTCTGGGGTGAGGCCATTGCTTGTCAGACTGGGACAAAGCCAGGCTGAATGAGGCCTTGAGCAATCTGCTCTGGTGGGAGGTGTCCTTGCCCAGGGCAGGGGGTTGGGACTAGATGACCTCTAAGGTCCATTCCAACCCCTAAAATTCTATGATTCTATGACAAGGGCTGTGGAGGAGCTGGTGAGGATCTGCCTTTGGCTATCCCTGAGCGTCCACATGTTCAAACTACTTCTGGATGCAGTGAGGGATTGGTCCAGGCACTTGTCCTGCCTGGTCTTCTCTACTCCAGTTAAACCCACTGGATTAAGTTTTTCTTGATCCATACTGAAATGGAAAGAAAACCAGAGCCTCAGTGTTTATTTGTCATGGAAGGGAAGGTGATCTTGTAATGGGAATAGCCATGGGCCAGCCTGGGTGGCTTCCTGAAACCACTTGGTGACCTATGTCATCCTCCTGACCATGTGCTCTCTGGTGTGACACCCTATGACAATACCTTAGTCACCTGCTGTGACACAAACACTGTTTCTGTGCTCACAGCAGCTATTTACGGCTGTGGTGATGCTCCTGGAGGAGCAGGAGACAGAGCCCCACCTTCAGTGCATGTGGGCCTCACTTCAAGCCAAGTTATAGAAAATTTTATGGAGGAAAACATGTTTCCCTCATCATGGCAAATCCAGGCTCTCCTCTCCTCCATATTACCTGATAATTTATGATCTGGTTTGTGCCTTTTAAAAAGCCCAAAGGAAAAAGTAACTGCTGTTCTCAAAGCTGTGTCAATAAATTCCAGTGGTGAAGTAGCAGCATCCAGCAGGCCCTGCTGAGTCTCAGTTTTTCCAGGCAGGGCACTCCCACCCTTTAGTTAATAATTACCATGAGCAGGTACTGATTTATGGCAGGATGAGATGGAAATAGAAGTCACAAAGTCAATCTGATAATAACAGAAAATCAGCATTTTGTCTTGTTGTTTCATAAATGAGTTCAAATGTAGCCAGCAGAGAAGTAGAATTAAAGGCCCTGCTGAGTCTCAGTTTTTCCAGGCAGGGCACTCCCACCCTTTAGTTAATAATTACCATGAGCAGGTACTGATTTATGGCAGGATGAGATGGAAATAGAAGTCACAAAGTCAATCTGATAATAACAGAAAATCAGCATTTTGTCTTGTTGTTTCATAAATGAGTTCAAATGTAGCCAGCAGAGAAGTAGAATTAATGGCCTCTTCTGTTATCCCAGCTGAATGGCCCTGGTGTTGGGAGAAGGTGTTGAGGGTTGATTGTGCTGCTCCAGAGGCAAAGCTGAGCCAGCTCTCCTTTAGGTTTTGCAGGTGACGTCACTCCAGCTCAACATGACGTGGACTTACTGGATCATCCCCAAATGGAGTTTCATGACAACACTTGACACTGCTGTGCCAGCTGCAGAGCCTGTGATGAGCCCTCTAGCTGTTGTCTTCCCTCCCACACCTCTGGTCTGTCTCAGTGACCTTCACTTCGACAGAGCATTTCTCAACAACTATTGAGTTATGAGTAGTTTTGCCCAGGTTTGGCTTATCCAAGAGCCCTGTCAGCAGCCAATGCCTCCAGAAGATCAGCTCTCCAGCCTGGGGTGACTTGCAGCCCCTGCGTAGCTTCACCTTCCTTCAGTCAGGTTCATTTCCCACCATGTGCTTTTGCTGGATCCTTGGTGAACAGAAGGATGGAGGGCTGATTCCAGGGCTGTGGAGGACGAGGAGCTGCTTGGCATTGCCTTTCCATGGAGCACCTCCCGTGCAGCTTTCCAAGCCAGAAGTGCCCTGGAGATGCCATTGAAGGAGTTTTCCTACCAAACTACACACAAAACTGAAGTGCTCCCTGGATAACTTTCCCTTCCCAATGGAGAACAGATATCAGATAGAGCTATAGCTCCCAACTGCCACAAAACCCCTTCCTTTGGCCCCAGAAACTGCCACCCTCCAGTTCCTGGCTGGAACACAAATCAAGGCCTTACTGGTCATATTTTCTGGGTATCCAGAAGGGATATTCCACAAGGAATCTGGCTTGGCTCCCTATTTCCGGTTCTGGGGGATTTTTGGTAGGTGTAAAATCATCTGCAGTCATTGCTGAGGGTTTGAGGCACCAGGTGTAACTGGGGAATGAAAGGGAAGGTAGGGCTGAGCCTCTCAGCTGGGCTCCAGTAATGATAATATAAGGATCATGTTAATGGTTCAGTGTAGGCTTTATCAAAGAAGAGGGGGAGGGAGAAGGCAGTTTGATTACACAGTGCCCATGAGCCAAGTCATTACCTGAGGCACACATAGGTTCAGGGAGAGGACAAGATGCCCAGGGCTATAATTACCTCCTTGCTGTGGCCCCAGGCAGTGGGGCTGGTCCATAGAAAGAGCTGCTGGTCACCTTGGGTGGGTATGGACAGTGCTCAGAGCTGAGTCTTCGTCACATATGTACACCTGAGGAGCTTTGGGACTTACACTCCAGGGATGTGTTTGTTGGTGGAGTGACAGGACAAGGGGGAATGGCCTTAAGATGAAAGAGGGTGGATTTAGATTGGATATTGGGAAGGAACTATTGAGGGAACTGGCACAGGTTGCCCAGAGCAGCTGTGGCTGCCCCATCCCTGGGAGTGTTCCAGGCCAGGCTGGATGGGGCTTGGAGCAACCTGGGCTGGTGGAAGGTGTCCCTGCCCATGGCAGGGGTGGAACCAGACAATCTTTAAGGTCCTTCCAACGCAAACCATTCTATGATTCTGTGATAACCTTGGCACTGGTGTCTCCCCTAATTTCTGTGCGATCAAACATAGATAAACCGGCCAGAAATCCACTGAAACTATCTCAGCAGGTGACACAGAGCAGTAAGGAAGAGATTGTAACAACTATTCCACACCTCAAGAGCTGCCTGATTTGTATCTTTTACACCAACCCACGTTCTTAATCACCTTCTGGAACTGCTGTGAGCTCATCCCCAGCTGCAGGCAACTCTATCCGTGCAACAAAGTCATAAAAACTACACGTGTCCCGGAAACGCAGCTCGGGGCAGGAGTGCCCCAGTGCCTTGCGGTGCCGCGGGGCTGGCACAGTCCCCACGCCCGGAGCTTCTGGCAGCGAGTCCTCCTCCCCTGCCCTCTGAACTCTGCCCCGCCGCCGGCGTTCGCATGCTAAAAGCGGAGGAAAAGGTACTTGGCCAAATTACGGAGTTTCTGCGCGATGCTGGGCGGAGGAGGAAGATCGGGAACGCCTGAGCCCTGCCTCCGGCTCCAGGGTATTTAACCTCGGGAGTCGTGGCTGGAAACAGAGCGCTGCTCCTTACAGCTCCCAGCTCTACAGCTCACACCGCTCCAGGACACCGTCCTTCCGCGCACATCTCTCCTGCTCACATCGCTCCAGCTTCCACCCGTTTCTGCGCGATGCTGGGCGGAGGAGGAAGATCGGGAACGCCTGAGCCCTGCCTCCGGCTCCAGGGTATTTAACCTCGGGAGTCGTGGCTGGAAACAGAGCGCTGCTCCTTACAGCTCCCAGCTCTACAGCTCACACCGCTCCAGGACACCGTCCTTCCGCGCACATCTCTCCTGCTCACATCGCTCCAGCTTCCACCCCTCCAGACACATCCCTCCAGCTCCCATCCCTCCACATCCTTCCCTTCCGCGCACATCTCTCCTGCTCACATCGCTCCAGCTTCCACCCCTCCAGACACATCCCTCCAGCTCCCATCCCTCCACATCCTTCCACAGGACACATCCTTCCAGCTCCCATCTCTCCAGGACACATCCTTCCAGCTCCCATCTCTCCAGACACATCCCTCCAGCTCCCATCTCTCGATCTCCCTGCGGGGGAGGAGCAGCCGTGGAGAGGATGAGCTGCAGCAGGTACCCGGTGGATGTGAAGGCTGTTGGCTTCATGCAATGCAGAAGACAGAAGGTACTTTAATTTTTATATATTTTGCCCTTTTTTGTCCTTAAATATTATTTTTAAACTAGGAAACTAGGGGGGTTTGAGTTACTCTTCCAGGGGTGTGTTTGCTCACTCATGTGTTGGGATTAGAGCTGTGGGATGTGGGACAAAGGGATTTGTTTAAATGGGTTTAACATTATAAGAAAAATTATTACCTTGGATTTTGCTTTCTTTGTGTCACAGTGCTAGAAAACTCTCTGGGTTCCAACCACTATTATCCATGTGGGGCCCTAAAATTAAGGCATTATTTGTGTAGCTTGAATGTTCAATTTGATTTTCCAATGGGACACTTTTGCACCCTGTAGGCAGAGCTGAACCACAGCTCAGGGCAAGCACCAACTGCCTGAAAAGCTTCCCCTCTTGGATTAAATTCCATTCCCTTTTATTTTGCCAGCACTACATGATGTTTGTGTCTTGGTCAGACCAGAACAACATCCTCATCTACAGGACATTTGAAGACTTTAAGAGATTCCATGTGAGTGGGTTTCCAGCTCCTGGAATTCCAGGATTCAGCTGCTGGGGAGGGGGAAGGAGCCCAACCATGTGCCAAGGCATCACTGATCTCTCCTTTTCTCACTTGCAGAAAGAGCTGAAGAGAAAATTCCCTATTGAGAGTGGCTCCCTCAGAAGATCAGGCAGGACAATCCCCAGGTTTAAGGGTAAGAACAAACCTCTGATGGGCCAACAAACACAAGAGCTGTTGGGGACAGTCAGAACTGTCATGGGCTGAAGTCTCTGAGCCTGACCTTCCTCTGGGGCAGATTAAGAGCTCTCTCTGCCCCTGGCATGGCAACCATGGTTACATCGACATGTTTGGGTCTAGCACAGGCTTAAAACAACCCAGAAAGGCTTTTTGATAGATAATTGCCCTTGGAAAATGAATATTATGCTTTAAATATCGCCCCAGAGCTTCTTGTGACATTGACATGTGAAGAAAGATTAGTTTTATACATTAAAATTGGTGTCAGGAGCTATAAAAAATGACCTGGAGGCAGGGACAGCTGCTGCCTTGGCTTGGACAGGAAGGGTGAAGGTGAGGGCACCTCTGTGTCCAGGCAGCTGCTCCCAAGGCATCCAAAGCCATTCCTGCCTCACACCAGCTCTGCCCTTGTTCTTTTAAAGATGCAGCACTGCAGCAGAGGAAGGTTGGCAAGCTGAACAAGTACCTGGAGATCCTGAAACTGCTGGAAACCTACTCCCAGGAGCTGCTGAAGTTGGATGCAAAAATCTCCCAGGGTGAAGATGTGAATCAGTTTTTCAAGGCACAGACACAAGACCTTGATCCTTCCTTCCCTGAAAACAGGTGTGAGATCACAGCTGTAGCTTTTGGTAGCTCCTGAAGCAGAAATATTATGTGATATGGGTGGAAGAGAAAGAAGTTAATAGCAGGGCAGCTGAGAAGGTGCTGGGTGCTTTAATCCAGGTTTATGCTGTCTCTGCTGCCTTAAAAGCTTTTCTTATCCTACTGCACAAATGATTTCACCTAAATTAATACTGAACTCAACCTTCCACATGAGTTTCTGATCTGAAACTTTACTTTGCAGTGTTGTGATCATGCCATCAGTGTTCAAAGAGGAGCAAAAGCCCCAGGAGCAGCTCTCCTCCATCACACTTCCCCAGGCCTCCCAGAGCTATCGCTGCATCGAAACCTTCCAGACCAAGGACACAAAGAACAAGACCTTCACAGTCACCCAGAAGGAAATTGTTGAAGTGTTGATCAAGGATATGACTGGTATGTCTGAGCAGATTCTTCAGGGTCAGGGCTGGAGGGGCAGATTGAGTCAAAGCTCCATAGTGTCACAGGTGGTTGTCCCTTCTGTCTCCTGTGTTCCCTACCCAGGGATTATTGTCATCTCTTGATTTGCAGGCTGTTAAAAACTGGGTTTTCTTGATCTTTGCAGGATGGTGGCTGGTGGAAAATGCAGACAACCAGATAGCCTGGTTCCCAGCCTCCTACCTGGAGGAGCTTGATGTCCACAGGGACATCCAGAATGCTTTCAGCTCAAATGAGGAGGGTAAGTCTGCTGCTGGATCCCTGGGACATCACCTTCCTCCCACAAAATATGGTCTCTGCAAAACCTCTTCACTTTAATAACTGCTTGGAGTTCTTGCCTGGGGCTCTGAAGCTCTGACTCTTCTGGTCAGCTCTGCCATGAGCTGTGGGGGCATGGAATTAGAGAAGGATTTGGTTTGGAAGGATCTTAAAGCCCATCTCATTCCACCCCTGCCACGGGAAGGTATGCTGTTCACTAGCCCAGGTGCCTCCAATCCTCATCCAACCTGGCCTTGGACACCTCCAGGGATGAGCAGCCACAGCTTCTCTGGGCAACCTCAGTGCCTCACCATGCTCACGGGGAAGAACTTCTTCCTTATATCTAACCCAAATCAATCAGATTAGTGTCCCTGAGCAAACCTCTCACACCCAGGGACACTTAGAATCATAGAATCATCACGGTTGGAAGGGACCTCTAAGATCATCAAGTCCAACCATTAAACTTGCCCACAGCTGAGCTGGTCTGGCACAGGGATGGGACATCTCCACAAGGCAAACCCAACCTCCCCCTTGTCTTGCAGGCAGCCTGTACTTTGTCATGAGAGCCTATGAGGCTCAGAAGGCAGATGAGCTCTCCCTGAACCACGGGGTGGTTGTAGAAGTAGTCAGGAGATCTGATGATGGCTGGTGGCTGATCCGGTAAGGAAACTTTTCCCAAACTCCCATTCCCTTAAAGCCCACCCCTGCCGTGGACAGGGACACCTTCCACTAGGCCAGGTTGCTGCAAGCCCTGTTCAACCTGGCCTGGAACCATTCCAGAGATGGAGCAGCCACAGGTGGTTGGGAGGGAAGGAGCTGGTTACCTGCTCCTCCCTGTAGGATGCACAGGAGCTCCCTGAGCTGTCTGCCTGTGGCTAGGGGTGGTTTCCCTGCCCTCACCTGCTTGCCCAGGTGCTCTGCTCCCTGCCCTTGGTCTGGGCAGGCAGAAGGGCTCTACTCACTGCTCTGTCCCTCCCTGCCCTCAGGTACAATGGCCACACTGGTTACCTGCCCTCCATGTGCCTCCGACCCTACAGGAACCCTCACCACAAGCTCCAGACCATCATCAGCTGTGGCCTCAACACCTCCACCACCAACCTCAGTTGCTCCTTGACACCTCCCCAGGCACGGGGGAAGGCCCTGGGGCAGTCCAGGGTGCAGCCAGGCTCTTCCTTGGGCTCCAGCCAAGAGGACATGAGCTCTCAGCGAGGCAGATCGAGGTCCCTGCCCAGGGCCAGCTCCACCCCCGAGCTGGAGTCGGACAGCTCTTCTCTGGGCTCGGGTGGCAGCAGCGAGAGGGACACGAGGCTGGGCTGGAAGCCTGACCTGTCCCGCTCCCTACCCGAGGTGGAGCAGGACAGGAACTCTGCCCTGCCCAAGCCCAGCAGCAAGTCCCCATGCCTCTCCCTGCAGGACAGGAACGATTCTGGCTTCATGGAGTCCTCTGCAGCAGATCTGAGCACATCCCTCCCCACCCCAGAGCTGGCCACAAGCATGCCCAAGGTGCCAGTGCGTCCCTCGGCACAGGAGATCCTGCAGAAGTGCAGCACGGTGACCAAACGTGCTGTGCAACAGGGTGTCCCTCGCCCTGCCCTGCAGGCTCTGCTCCCACCCCACAGTTCCGACTAGTGCCCCTGGGGCTGGGACACCCACCCAGCCCCAGGGCCCAGCCTGAGACCTCTTCACCAGGGCCAGGGGACAGACTGGAACCCTCCTTACCAGGGTCCTAGGACAGCCTGGGACCTCCTGACCAGGATCCTAGCAGAGCCTCAGGGCTTGGGGCTGGCTCATCCCAAGGACATTGTTAGACCCCCAAAGGATACACACGTGTCCATCGCCTCCCAGGGCAGCAATTCCTCCTGCAGCCTGCACAGGGAGTCTGGAAGGGAGTTACTGGGAGAGGATTTAGTGGTTTAACCCATTAGGGGAGTCATGGATCTGCAGCTCCTAAGTTGGGATCTAGCAGCTCTTAAGGCAGGATCTGCAGCTCCTAAGCTAGACGTCACTTGGAATTATTAGTTCTCCCTCAGGCACGTGTTGATCCTGCCCTGCAGTATGTGAACATTCCAATTGGCGCATTATTCCCCACCCTGGAGGGCACAGGAGTGTCACCAAAGGGATTTAAGGATCATCCACGGCACCTTGAGCTACAGTCACTGGGCTGGGGAGGGATGGGATGATGCAGCATTAACCTATTGTATATAGATACATATTTAAGCTGTTCTTTGGGTGTTGGTTTGGGGTTTTTTTTTCCCTGTGATTTTAGATCAGTTTGGGTAGTGAAGAGGCCACCAAATATGATCTGCTGAAGGGCTGTGAGAACAAAACCCCACTGAGGAGGAATTTCAGCCCTGGCTGTTCTCTGCAGTGTGTCTGTGCAGGCACAGAGCACCAACAGGAGCCACAGCTTATGTCCCACCTCGGCAGGGGACAGAGGTCACTTTCATGGACAGAACATTCTCCTCCAAGGACTCTGATAGTTCCTGAAACAGCAGTTCACAACCTCAACTTGTTTGCTACAACTGAGTTAGCAAAATAGTTCTAGGGATGTTAATTTTTCTTTCCATTTTTAGCTTTAATTGTAGTTTTTCTCTTACCTGTTAATATTTTTTAGAAACAACTTGAGGCGTTTGTATTGCTCTGAGTTTTATACATTTTTTTGTCTGTAAAATAAAATGCACATAAATAGCTCTGAAGGTTTATACTTGTTTATACTGGAAGGTTTGGTTTATACTTGGTGTTTGTGCTTTCTACTTTCATTTGCTACCTAGGGAATGAAAGTTGTGCTTCTCGCCCTCCCAGGTGTTAAATTTGGGGTGGGAACAGGTGAGACTTGGTCCAGGCTGCTCTGCCCAAAGTCTCCCGCTTCCAGAAAGCTTTTAAATCCCAAGACAGCTTGTTGGGATTCCACATTTTCTTCAAATTAAATGTTGTTGAGTACCTGAAAATTCAGGGTGTGAAAATACAACCAGTTTGGCCAAAGAAATGAGCTTCTCCTCTCACCTTCAGCCCTGAGATTAGATGCTGCATTTGTCTTAGAAATTAAACTTCAGCATTTATTATATAAAATAAGGGAATAATCAACCCAGTGGCTCCTGAAGGGACAGAGCTCCGGGTGGTGGCAGAGTGTCACAGTGTCCCACTGTCCTGCTGAGCTGTGCCTGCCAACCTCATGTTCTGCCACAGGAAGTCGATGAACATGGAGGCCTGGAGCAGTCGGCTCAGGCGCTGGAAGTGACGCTCTGCAGGGGGAGAAAGGGTTGGGATCGTGGAAGAGAGAGCCTGGGATAGGATACAAACATCTGGGGGGGGTTCAAACTGCAGAGGAGAAGGGCTCCAGGGCAATCTCAGAGCCAATTCCAGGGCTTAAAGGAGCTCCAAGAGACCAGCAGAGGCACTTGGGACAAGGCGTAAAAGAGACAGGACAATGAATGGCTTTCACTGCCAGAGGACAGGGATAGATGAGATATTGGGAAGGAGTTCTTCCCTGTGAGGGCACTGAGGCACTGGCACAGGTTGCACAGAGCAGCTGTGGCTGCTCCATCCCTGGGAGTGTTCCAGGCCAGGTTGGATGGGGCTTGGAGCAACCTGGGCTGGTGGGAAGTGTCCCTGCCCATGGGACTGGATGGGCTTTAATGTCTCTCCCAACCCAAACCCTTCCAGGACTCCATGATCCATGTCCCAGGACAGCCAGGCCCAGCAGTGACTCACCTGTGTATGGCAGAAGAGACTCCACAGCAGAGTTGATGCCTGAGAGCTGCAGGAGGCTGTCAGGTTCCTCATGCCTCAGGAGGGTCTCCAGGACAGCCTGGGCCTCGTGGCAGTGCCGGGAGTTGGTGTTCCAGGTCACCAGGAAGGCCAGCACTGCCTCTGAGGGGGGAAGGACACTGCTCTGCACTGGCACATGGGAGATGCCAAGCTGGAAAACATCTCTAGGGTCTTACTGAGCAGTTCAGCTCCCACAGAGAGTGAGTGATGAGCCCCGAGGGGCAGAACAAGGATGGACACAACTGTTTGTGGAGCTGCCGCATCCTGAATGTGTGGATTGATGAGGTCCTGATGGCCCTGAATGTCACTTGTTTGGGGAGATGCTGGGCAGAAACACACACACAAGCTCAGAGCAGTTCTGGTGAGCACCACAGGCAGTAGGCCTGGGCAGCAATCCTGCCCCAGGGTGCTGGGAGCTCATCCTGCCTGACAGTGCTGGGAGCAAATGCCAAGCCTAGGAAGATTCTGCTTTTAATACCCTGTGAGGGTGCTGAGGCACTGGTACAGGTTGCCCAGAGCAGCTGTGGCTGATCCATCCCTGGGAGTGTTCCAGGCCAGGTTGGATGGGGCTTGGAGCAACCTGGGCTGGTGGAAGATGTCCCTGCCCATGGCAGGGGGTGGAACTGGATCTTTAAGGCTCTTCCAACCCAAACCATCCCAGGATTCCATTTCCATGACTCCAATTTCAGTTGAGAAAACAAATCCCTAACCTGAGAGTTTTTAGCACTTAATCCATGTTGTCACAAACCTTTCTGATCCTTCCTGAGCTGAACAATGTTCTCTTCCAGGTGTTTCCTCCCCTCAGGTTCCTTGAGGATTGCTGCAGGGAGAGAAATTAAAAGTTCAGGCAAGAGCCCAGCCCTGGAGAAGGTGTTCTGGAAGCAGAGAGGGCAGGGAAATGCCTCCAGTGTGACTTGGACTCACCTTTGACCACCATCAACACAGTGTGTGGCCGATCCAGGGAGATGGCCAAGCCCAGAGCTTTGAGGTACCTCTTCTCATGCAGCAGGTTGGAAAGCTCTTGCTCTCTGGAGAACAATCAGAATCAAGAGTGAGACCAGCATTTGGGAGATGAAATAAAACACTATACAGAAAGATTTGGCAATAACTGTGCAACAATTTAAAGACAAGAAGTCAGTGGTGCTTGGCAATAAATGCCTCAGTGCCCTCAGCCTGCAGGTGACACCCCTGATCACCTCTAGAGGGAAGAGAAAGTGAGAGCAGGTTGTAGTGGGTTGATTTTGCTTGTCTCAGCAGTGCTTAAACACAAACTAATCCCTTGCGAGGCTGCAGCATCAAAGTCAGGCTGTGCAGAGCTCAGCTACCAGGGGGAAGGAACCACTGTGCCCTCCTAGCCTCTGAACAGCTCAGTGATGGGATATTGGGATGAGCTGGATGCCTCCGGGTGTGGACACTGCCTTTCACAGCTCATTTGTGCACAACTCACTTCAGTATCTGCTCCTCCTGCTTAGCTTGTGCTTCTTTCTCCTCAATTTCAGTGACATCCTAGAAGAAAACAGGGTAATACTTTATCAATCACTGCTTTACTGCAGATGACTTTTTTTAGCCACAAAGTGATTAGGAAAACACTTCTTGTGGTTCTCTAGGCCGAGTCCTTTGAGTGCTGCATCCAGCAAACAACTTCCCTCCAGACTGCAGAGGCTGAGGACTATTGCTGTTCCTTTAACATCAGCTGGGGAAAGACTGTAAGGCCAAAAAACCCCAAACAAGCCTTAGTGACCCAAATGAGAAGAGCACATGAGTAGCAAGCCCTAAGCTCTCCAATTGTGTCAGCTGTACCTGCCAGAGGGTGATGCAGGAGTCACTGGAGCCTGTTACAACCATGTCATCTTGTTTGTTGGAGTGAAGGCCCCAGATTTTGTCTTCATGCCCATCTAAGGTTTTCACACACTCATTTGTTTTAATTGTCCAGAGCTTTATGAGACCATCAGATCCACTTTGGGGAGAGAGAGTGACACAACAAGATCAATCAGTAAGTGGAGAAATCCATTCTTGTCCCACCTCAAACTTGTCCCACTCCAATGCCTTCCAAGCAGGAGAATTAACTAAAGGTCTGCAGGATGAGATGTACCCTTAGCTTTGCTTATCATCCATGTCCCCAAAAATCAGTGACACAAATGGAATCCATGGAAGAAATGGAGAATAGGAAGGTTAATTTAAGCCCTGCACAAAGCTTGGCCTAAACATGGCACCTTCCTGTCAGGTCCTTCATGTGGACTCTTCCAAGGACTCTCTGGACACAAGACTCTTCCTTTCTGCTGCTGAGCTAAGAGATTCCCTCCTGGTCTCTTCCCCAGGCTCCTGGAGCAGCACATACCTGCTGAGCAGCTGTGCCCCTCTGCTCACAAAAATGATCTTCAGGACAGAGGCATCATGGCCTTCAAAGGTCTGGAAAACAGAAGAGAAGCTCAGCAGTGTTGGACACTGTCAGGTCTTTGCAGAGTTTTCTTCCAAGAGGATAATTTTTACTCATAAAGCCCAATTCCAGGTTTTTGAAGATCCTTAAACAGTCAGGTGGAAGGAGATGATTCTGCCTCTCTACCCTGCTCTGGTGAGGCCCCACCTGGAGTGCTGCACACAGTTCTGGTGTCCCCAACGGCAGAAGGACATGGAACTTTTGGAGCAAGTCCAGAGGAGGCCATGAAGCTGAGAAAAGGGTTGGAGCACCTTCCCTATGGAGAGAGTTGGGACTGTTGAGCCAGGAGAAGAGAAGGCTGTGTGGAGAACTCTGAGCAACCTGCCAGGAGCTGAAGGGGCTCCAGGGAAGCTGCAAAGGGACTCTGGTTAGGAACTGCAGCAACAAGACAAGGAGTAATGGGGATAAATTGAAAGAGGGAAATCGACATGAGATCTTAGGCAGAAGTTTTACCCTGTGTGGGTGGTGAGACACTGGCACAGGTTGCCCAGGGAGGCGGCTGCCCCAGCCCTGGCAGTGTTCACAGCCAGGTTGGATGAGGCCTTGAGCAACCTGCTCTGGTGGGAGGTGTCCTTGCTCAGGGCAGGGGTTGGGAATGGATGATCTCTAAGCTCCATTCCAACCCCTCAACAGACTATGAAATCCCAAGGCTTTGCCCAGTTCCAGGAGTCCTCACCTTGAGGCAGCTGAAGTCCCTCAGGCCCCACAGCTTCAGGGTGCCATCTGCTGAGGAGGTGGCCAAGACCTGATCCACAGGAGAGAACTGCACACACCAGATGCCACGTTTGTGGCCAGAGAACACTCCCAGCAAGGAGCAGTCGGAGCAGGACCACAGCTTGGCCACTCTGTCCTGAGAGCCTGTGGCCAGCAGCTTGTCATTGGGGGACACTGCCACGCTGTTGATGTCCTAGGGGGAGGACAAAGCAGAAAGAGCCTTTGCTCTGGCTGTGGGACAGGGAATCAGTGCAGGTTGTAACACAGCAGAAGGATTCAGGCACTTAAAGCATGTCCCGGTGTGAGGTGGAGCTCTACCTTGTCGTGGCCTTTCTCAGTCACTCTTGCATGGAGAGTTTCTGGGCTGGAGGGCAAAGCTGCTCTCGCCTTGGAAGTGAGTGATTCAGGGATGTTCCAGATCTTGATGGTGCAATCCTGGCTGCTGGTGACAATGAAGCTTTGCTTCAGTCTGAAGAGAATAAGTATGTCAAGTTAGGAAGCAAATCAGTGGCTTCTCCTGCACAGGGAAAAGGTTTTCTCCTCCCCTTCCTGGGTCAGCACACACTCAGCCACTGCTGGGAAGTGGAGAAGTGGGTTTGTGGCTTTTCAAGCTCTCTTTCATTTCCCTCAGGTCCCTAGTACAGCCTGCAGCAGTTCAGACACCAGGGAAGAGCACTGCCACCTCCCTTCATTCACAGACGGGTGCAAAAGCTCTTGGACAAGGAAACTGTGCTGCCAGGCACACAGACTAAGAAGAGCTGATGTGCCACTCAAGCAAACACCTTCAGAGACACATTCCTTCGCTCCTCAGCCCTCTTCCATCACTCAGGCTTTCCCTGGCAACCAGAGTGATTCCCCATCTCTGGGAGTGCCCAAGGCCAGGTTGGATGGGGCTTGGAGCAACCTGGGCTAGTGGAAGGAGTCCCTGCCCATGGCAGGGGTAAAATGAGATGGATTCCTTCCAACTCATTCCAAGATTCTATAAACTTATCCTTCTGCTGCTCTTTAAGGCAAACAGGAATTAGCCTAATGATGAAATGCAACTTCCCAACTCATGGACAGACAAATGTGCACCTAAATACCCAAAATGATCCTTCCCATCTCTGGGAACCTCCAGCCAGGAGGGATGGAACAAGAGGATTTTTAATGTCCCTCCCAACCCAACCCAACCCAGTCAATGCTTCTATGATCTCTTCAGGCTTCAAACACCATGAGGAGCAGCAAGGAAGGGCAGCATGGCCTGGGGGCAGACACCCACCAAGATATTCACCCTGAGGAGCAGCAGAGCAGCCACAGAGGGAGACAAGCCCTCAGGGATTTGTCTTTTGTCTTACCTGGAGCAGGCCACAGCTCCCACCCCATGGGCATGGCCCAGGCCCAGTCCCACACACATCACCCTGCCAGCCTTGCCCATCCTCCACACTCGGATGCTCTTGTCCTGTAGAGGAAGAGAACACAAACTCTGTGCTTTGCTAGCAAGTCATCACTTCCCTGTGCTTCCACCACACCCCTAAGGCCTCAATTTTCCAGCCTGAACCTTTGCCTGCCTTTGTCAGAGCATGAGGGGAGACACAGCTGAACATGCCAAGGCTCCAAGCTGGGATTGCAGTGTGGAGGTTCATTTCTGGGGGTATCAGGGCACTTGACACCTTCTCTTCCAACATGGAAACTCTATCAGTCTCCCACTAAGGACTTGTATGAACTCTTCTCCAGACCCAAACGGTTGGAGAAGGAAAAGTCTCCTTTGGGCTAATAAACTACCATCAATTTCCCAAGGATGATGTTAAAAAGGGAGAGTGGAAGAAAATTCTCTTTTCCCAGGGATGACATTAAAAAAAGGAGAGTGGAACAACCTTCCATTTGGGAATGCAGCAGACAGGAATTGTCTGGAGTGCCCAAACCAATATAATTCTGCCCATAGAGGTCACTAGGATGAGGAGTTTCTGGACATGGGGAGAAGGGACACACCTTAGCACAGGTGACAAACATCAGACCTTTCTTGAAGACATCCAGAGCCAGGATTGTATCTAAAGAGGAGAAATAAAAGCAGGTGGATGCACAGTGAGACTGAAATGGGACAACAGAAATGTGACAATTAATGATCCCAGTGCTAATGATGGGGGACAGGCCTGGGACATGTCACCCACACTCCTAGGGGGTGACTGGCTACAGCTGTGAGTCTATCCCACCTTGAGTTCAAATTTAAGTGCTCTCAGTGATGGTAGGCCATATCCTTTCTCCACACAACCCCCAAAGCTGCTGTGGTGCTGCTCCAGACAGAACTCAAGGACTCATCCCCACAGAAGGTGGCTAGAGAAGGCCCTGCCCACCTCCCATCCAGGTCATGCTGCCACACACCTGTGTGGCCATAGAGGATCTGGCAGTGGGATGTGGCCAGCTCAAACACCTTCAGCTGGGGGCTGTTGGTAGCCACAACGATGTGAGAGTCACCAGGGCCCAGGAACTTCACATCCAGGACCTCATCATTGTACCCTGCAAGCTGCAATGGGAACAGTCAGTAGGGAAAAGGCACTTGACAGAGACTGGATGGCATGTGGGGGTGGCTACTGCCACTTCTTAGTTAATACTGGGTGTAAAAGTCTGTTCTGCACACAGGAAGGAGTTCTGGCTAGGCCTGGTCTGCTCTTACTCCTGTGTTAGTGCAATGTTCCTCCAAACAGCCCCAGAAGTGACATTTCTGGCACCAAGGAACAGCTCCAGGACAGGCTGGAGATAAGAGCAGCCCTGGACAAAGCTCTCACCATTGGATCAATCAGGCTGGAAAAGACCTCTGAGATCAAGTCCAACCTGTGACCTAACACCAACATGTCAGCTAGACCATGGCACTGAGCACCATGTCCAGGCAGTCCTGGAACACCTCCAGGGATGGTGACTCCACCACCTCCCTGGGCAGCTCCAATGCCTGACAGCCCTTTCCATGGAGAAATTCCTCCTGATGTCCAACCTGAAGCTCTCCTGGTACATCTTGAGACTGTGTCTTCTTGTCCTGTCATGTTTATTGGGAGCAGAGCCCAACCCCAGCCTGGCTGCACCTCCTGACTTGTAGAGAGCAACAAGGTTCCCCTGAGCCTCTTCAGAAGCAGAGCTGCTCCTAAATCATGGATAGAGCAAAAAGGTTGTCACCTGCTTCCTGAGCTGAAGGGTATGAGCATCATAGAAGACAATATGGTGCTCCACAGACACAGTGACCATCTCCATCCTCTCAGGGACAAAGAGGCAGTGGGTGAGGCTGTGCTCACTGGGTTCCTCCTGCAGCTCAAAGGGCACAGCCTGGCTGTGCACACAGGCACCTGTGGCCACCTCCCACACCTTCAGGATGCCTAGGAATGATGAAAGAAATAATGTCAGAGCCAGTGCTTCACACAGAGGTTGTGTAAGGAATGGTATTCAAACCCTGTGGCCTACTGCGACACGGTGCAAGCTCTGGGACTGCTCTAAGTCCTGCTCTAAGGCAGAACTGGGGTGAGATCCAGTCACAGCTGCATGAAGAGCCACAATGTTTTGCTTCCTCAGCCAAAATCACACTTTACTGCAGTTTCAAAACACAGTTAAAGCTCCAGAACACGCCTGACCCATCCTGCTCAGCCACTGCTGCCACAGGGACTCAGGAACAGGATCTGTTCTCCAACTCAAGCCTTCTGCCATGCAAAAACACATCCCAGGGATAACTCAGGGAGGCTGTGGCTGCCCCAACCTTGGCAGGGCTCATTCCAGCTTGGATAAAGCCTGGAGCAACCTGGTCTGGTAGAGGTGTCCTTTCACCAGGACTAAATGATCTCTAAGGTCCATTCCAGCCCCTTAACACATTATGATTCTTAGCATTCTCAAACAGCAATGAGGTGTCTGAGGTACTTCCCTTCAGCCTCCAGACCTGTCAGTGGCACTCACCTTTACTTCCAGCTGTCACAAAGTGCAGCCCTGGTTTCTTCACACCCAGCTGAGAGAAATCTCCTGTTTCAGGCAACAGCACAGCAGCTTCCACAGTCTGCAAGAGAGGAGACAGTCATGGAGCAGAGCCAAAAGGCTCTGGGGAGGGACAGACACCTGATTTCACTATACATAGAACCTAAAGAGGGAGAGGCACCATAAGACCATGAAGGATCTCAAAGCAATAAACAAAGTGCAGTCTCACCTCGTAGACAGGGACAGTCCTTGTGCTCTCCCTGGTCTGCAGGTCCCACATGATGCAGATCTTGTCACGGCCAGAGCTGCAAGTGAGAGCAGCAGTGTCAGGGCTGAGTCCCTTCAGCTAAAGCTTTGAGGGCACATTTAGCATCTCCAGAGATGCCATTTCTCACCCCACCATCCCAGCTGTGGCTGCCCCAGCCCTGGAAGACCAGATTGGATGGGGCTTGGAGCAACCTGGGCTAGTGGGAAATGTCCCTGTCCAGGACTGGATGAGCTTTAAGGTCCTTCCAACCAAAAACATTCCAGGAAGCCATGATTCCATTCCACAGGTGACACCATCAGTAACCCACTGAGCACTTCCTTCCCCAGACCCTCCAGAATACCCAGTCCTGGCTAGGACACAGCCTGAATGGGAGAGACAAGCTCAGCCCCTACCAGGAGGTACCTCAGCAGTGTGTTCCCATCTGCAAATGCCAGGGAGGTGACAGCACTGAAGTGTCCATCCAGCACTGCCACACACTTGCTGGATTTGAGGCTCCAGATGCGGATTTTGTAGTCCATGGAGGAGGAGAAGAGCTGCAGGCGGGAGAGGTCAGGGTGGAACTCCACCAGGCTGGGCAGGAGGAGATAACAGCACAGCAATAAACCTTCTGCAGTGCTCATGTAATAAATACACATTCTGCACAGTTCCAGGACAGGTTGGCTGGGGCTAGGAGCAACCTGGGCTAGTGGAAGGTATCCCTGCCCATGGCAGCAGGTGGGATGAGAAGAGCTTTAAGGTCCTTCCAATCCAACCCATTCCATGTTTCCATGACAGATCAATTGGCACAAATCTATAAGGGATTTTCTTTGTAGGATTTGATTGTTCTGCCACCCACCAGAGCAATTTACTCTTATTTTTACCAGTGCTTTCATGTTGTTGGAATATATCACTCTGTATCCCATTTGGAATCCAACAGATCTGAGGGTTAGTGGTGACTGTGGAGGTGGTGCTGGTTAGACTTGATGATCTTAAAGGGTTTTTCCAACCTTAACAATTCAGTGATTCTAGGAAACTTGTTAACCAAATGTTTTCTCTCTGGGCTAGAACCACATCTCTGCTCTCAAAATCCAGGAGGAAGAGCCCAGGACCTGCTTGGAATGGGGCTTCATGTTCCATGAACTCAAGGAGTGACTGAAACACCCTAATCTCAGCACCACAGTGATGCCCAGGACTGACACACGTGGCTGGTCCTTACTGTACCACTCCAGAAGATCCTTTCAGGTTGTGTGTGCAGTACTGTTTGATCATGTCCCAGATCTTAATGGTGCTGTCACAGCCACCGAGGGAAAGAAAACATTTGGGAATGAATTATAGAGGAGAGAGACGTGGGAGGTCCAGCATATCATCACCTGCAGAACCTCAGGGGTGCAAAGGCAAGAGAGAGAACAATGAACCAAATAACAACCCCCAGAGCAGGAGAAGCCCATAGAGCACCTTACACTGAGTCAGACTTGAGATGCAATGAAGTTATGGGTCATTCCTGAGCTCCTCCAGCTCCAAACTTCCCTGATCCACCCCAGGAAAGCTACACTGCTCTGTCTCATAGATGTCTGGTGTTTATCAGCACTTGATCATGTGTATTTTTGACAGAACACTGAGAGGATCCTTTGCTGTCACATTGTCATTTCCACCTGAGTAAAACAGAATCCCAGTTGGGGTTGGAAGGCACCTCTAGAGATGATCCAGTCCAACACCCTGCCCAGAGTCACCTGGAGCAGGTGACACAGGAACACATCCAGGTGGGTTTGAATGTCTCTAGAGAAGGAAACTCCAAGCCCTCTCTGTTCCACTTGTTGCAGGGCTCTGCCACCTCCATGGAAAGCAGCTCTCCCTCAGGCTAAGGTGAAACTTGTGGTTCAGTTTATGGCCATTGCTTCTTGTCCTGTTTCTGGGCACCACTGACCAGAGCATGGCACCATCTTAACACCCCTTGGAGATACTTGTATGGATTGATGAGATCCCTCTCAGCCTTCTCCAGACTAACCAGGCCCAGCCCTACACTCTATCCTCATCAGAGATGTTCCAGGCTCCTCATCATCTCTGTGGCCCTTATGAACCCTCTCCAGCAGCTCTTTGAGGAGCTCAGAACAAGGCACAATACTCCAGATGTGCCTCACTGGAGCCACCTCTGGAGCACTAAACCTCCCCTGTGTGTCTGCACTGAGGAGGTCCCACAGCCAGCTGAGGAAAGCAGCAGAAAGGTCACTTGGCAGTGTCCTGTGCCCATACCTGTGGCCAGCAAGGTGGCAGAGGGGTCAAAGGCCATGGTAGCCACAGGGGCAGTGTGCACAGCTCTCCAGGTCCTCACACAGCTCTTCTCCCTCCACTCCCACTGCCTCAGCAGCATAGCTCTGCTCCCTGTAACCAGCACCTGGAACAGACAAGGGAGCACAGTTAGGCTCTGCTTTGGATTCAGTTTGTCTCTGCACACACAGGGCACAGAAACTCCTGAGGAGCTACGCATGGGTGTGACTCCCCCCCAGGAGGAGACACTGAGGGAAGGACCTGAGGAGTCTCCATGAGGATCTCTGGCAGCACAGAGGCAATACAATAGAACCATGTGATAGAATCATGGAGTATCCTGAGCTGAAGGACCCACAAGGTTCATCCAGTCCAACCCCTGTCCCTGCATAGACACCCCAAAATCCCTCCCTGTCCCTGGGAATGTTGTCCAAACACTCCCTGAGCACCTCCAAGTGACACACTCACCTTGTCATCGGGGCTGAGCACAAAGGCAGTGACATCCTCCTCCTCCTCCTCCTGGGAAGACAGGAGGTAAATCCCAGTTAATCCACCCATGGAGCACCCTCAGAGTGGGTGTTCTGTTCCCTAGGTGGCTCTGCTGGACTGAGCACAGCCTGAGACACACAGGTAACTCCTGTGTCTGGGATCATTCCCATCCTCCCTGTGCTCCTCACCAGCTGTGGGAAACCCCCAGGAGAGGCTGCTCCCCCTCACCTGCTGCAGACAGTGCAGGAGAGCTCCTGTCTCCACATCGATGATGTTGACTTTGCTCCCACAGGGGCAGAACATGAACTTCCCATCGCTGTTTAT